TGTGTGTGTGTGTGTGTGTGTGTGTGTGTGTGTGTGTGTGTCTGTGTGTGTCTGTGATTCCCAGTGTTTTCACATATGATTTCTTCTGTGATTTTTTTGGCTTGGCCGATTTCTTTCAAACTTAGCAGGTAGGTCACACCTTCACCCTAGTTATCAGGAAAAATTTGAAAAAATTGTTTGGCCCATCGTTGCCATAGCAACAGCCAAAAAACTGATTTTTGGATAGCTTCGCGCCAAATGTATCTCCTCCTACAAATGTAGGATAAAACACTTCAGACATAGCTCATTCTACTCAGCTTGAGTGTGGACACAAAGTTACTATTTGAATTTTTGATATCTTTTATCATTACCGAGAAACTTGACCCCAAGGTTGAGGTAATTTTTCACTAGCAACGGCTTTTAACTCTTCTGTGATTTTTTTTCGGCTCGGCTGATTTTGTTCAGACTTCACAGGTAGGTCGTACCGTCACTAATTGGAAAACAATCCTGGCCCACCACTGCCATTGCAACATCCAAAAACTGTTTTTTGAATACTTTCGCCCCAAATGTATTACCTCCTACCAGTTTTGTAATAGCAGTGTTGAAATGATCATGCTTTTTATTTTGGCTACGTAGCGTACTGGTAAGATATCACCGACACCGACATTGTTACACTGTATCAACGTAATCCCAACGCAACTTTTAACTTTGAATCGAACTGTTAATGCTGCCTTCAATCTAGAAAATACTATCGCAAAAAGGTTGGAAATAATAAATGTAACAGCAGAATACGTCCTAGTAATAAACTAAGTGACTTCTAAAGACTGAATGGCTTTTGCGAACTTCGTATAGGGCCCATTTAGTTATAACCCGACGGTAGCTTCACGTTTATGTCACACCATGGAAACAGCTAAAAACAAGTTGCTTGTTTTTGAGCGGAGCGGATCGACGACAACCAGCCTACCGGCTTGTCTTGTTGTTTCCTTCTGTGTCTGCCTCGATGCTGTTGATTGTTTTTATGTAATTATACAACACGTTAAGTGTTTGTGTCTAGTTTTTAATTTGTCTTAGAATTTGGCGGGGGTCGGGGGAACTTAACCTCTTGCAATGAGAACCAATGTGACTGGCCTGCCAACGGCGTGCTAAGGTGATTATAGTACCATTTAAAGTAGTTTGTTTTAATTTACCCGTGAATCAAAAATCACTACACTGTACTTCAACACTGCAGTTCCCATTATAGCACGTTAAAACCTGAAACCTCGTAGCAGGCCTGCCACACTGGTTCTCACCCAAGGGAGTACAATTTTACGAATTAAAAAGGAGAATTATAAAAACATACAATTATTATATAAGATTAATATACGTAGAAAAAAAATAGGTTAAATCGGGGGAGTCGTCACCTGCGTGTGCGTCAGATGGAGATAGCGTGTCATTGTTTACAAACAAATGTCTACCCATGAGCCTTTGCGTTTTTAGCGCGTGTTGTTATCGTCGCTTGGGACTCAATTCTTGCGCGTGTGCGAAAGTAAGTGTGTGGTGGTAACAGAAGATGAAAAAAACAGACCGGGGCATCGGAATGAAGTGCAGAGCAGTCCACTTGATTAAACTAGACTAGCTAAAAATACAGCTTGTCTTTCACATATACCTTTCGGCAAATATCATTTTCGTTCTAAATTACCACACAAAAAATGCCATTTTTCGAATTGAAAAGTGACAATCTTGAACTAATTATATAGTCTGCATTACATTTTTAGGTTACCAGGCCATTCATCTGCCGTTATAAGCATGCGTTGAACGATGAATAAATTTCCGTTTGTGCTGCTAATTTGTTGCAATGTCACCGTCTGGTTTGCCTTGTACCAGAGAGTGAAAAAACCCGACAGCAAGTATGAACTAGTAAGGGACGACGGGGACACTGTCAATTCTACGGCAAATGTCGAAAAACTCCGACGGGAACTCAACAGAAGTCTAGTTTTCAACGAAACAGACGAGTATACTAATCTGCACGACTATGAGTTAACGCTGAATCATCCGCATATGTGTAAGGACAGGAAAGTATTTCTATTGGTCTTAGTAACGTCGAAGCCTGAATCAAAGACCGTCAGATCAGCGATTCGGAACACGTGGGCAAATGAAGTTGCTACTAGAAACAGAGATATAGTAATCCTATTTCTGTTGGGCACGCCCACAAACGACAGCATACAAGACAATCTTATAGAAGAGAACAAACTACAGGGTGACATATTACAAGAAAATTTTGTCGATGATTACCTTAATCTGACTTTGAAAACCATCATGGGGTTAAAATGGGCGACGCAATATTGTCCCAACGCTAAATACGTCATGAAAACCGATAGCGACGTGTTTGTCAACTTTGAATCTATAGTCGAATTTCTCGCAACTCGACCGATGACAGGCTACGCCGTTGGGCACCGTTTTATCGCGTCAAAGCCGCAAAGACAGAAGGGTAGCAAATGGTACACGTCTGAGGATGTTTACCCTGGTCCGACATATCCTCCTTATCTTTGCGGGACAGGATACATAGCGTCCATAGACGTAGTAACTCGTTTGTATTTGGAATCTATCAGAACCAAATTATTGCACTGGGAGGATGTGTATGTAGGCATAGTCATGCAGCAAATTCAGATTCTGCCGCGACATGATAATCGTTTCGACACATTTTCGAAGCTTTACAAACCACAACAACCATGCTCGTTATACAGATTGTTCACTGTACATCACGTGAAAACAAGTGGTATGTACAAGTTGTGGAAAAAGTTTCAGAAATATAAGCTACCAGGGAAATGTCACGCTTATAATGAGTTGTCCTGAGATTTATATCTTCTCAACATAACCACGTGACCAAAACTTCCATATACATTAACTCAATTGACTGCCATGTTGATTTGCAGCACAAACAAAGAAATGCAATGCGTATATTCAACTTGAATTCATGGAGGTTTTGTTTCTACATCGAGAAGACGAGGGACACGAGGCATGTATTGGAATGTCGGAATTCGTAAAAAATGTATGGTTGCTTTCGCTAATCTGGGATGCACCACTTAAAAGGGGTGAAAAATCATTAAAGTTTTTATTGGGGGGGGGTCATCTGGTAGTGATGTCAAGCTATATTCAAGTGTGTCCCATGCGCTAGATTTGTTGTAGTAGAGTCATCTACAAAAGAAAATTATTCTGCAAAAGCTACTGAAAAAATGCATATTTGGGGGAAATCACTTACTTTTGATAGAGAAAAGACATTACAGCAACATCATCCTTAAAAATGCGAAGTTTATATATTTTCTCCCCTAAAGCCCATCCCTCATTATTGTGTAAAATTGTGGGTATTTTGAGTGTGTTAACATAATTCCGTTTTACATTACATCTTGTACGTAATTATCGCAAAATTGAATCATTGTATCGGCAAATAATTATAGCAAGTATAATTTGTTGGATAAAATGATGATAGCGTTGTGGTATGTGTGCGTATATTTAGGTTGTGCAAAGCGCATGTGCACTAGCGAAGAGTCACCACATTCGAACATTCAAAAACTGGTGAAAATAATGGAGGAATTTATACATCATCAGAATCAGTCAACGAAGCTGTTCGTGTAAAAAGCTGTTCGAGTGCGTGTTTAGGAGGGCATATTTATTTGTATCCATGTAGTAGGTAGTTTATAATAAGCCATTAAACAACTCCCGAAGTTCACTTGGTCACTTGTATTTTGTTTGCCAATGTTTACGTTCAGTACACTACATAGCATTTGATCACTCAGCGAGTAGGACATCTGATGTTCATCGTAACGACCATTATTTTGTCACTTTGCGTCTGTGAGTGCATAAACTGTTCGACAAAAACGTACGGTAGTGGGAGGGGGTGCTCGCATATGCACTGAGTGGGGAAAAGGAAGGTAACTATTAAAAGGGAGGGCAGATTTTTAATTCCATAATGGGTGGCACATTGTGAAGGGAGTAGAGAGGGAACACAACCGAACAGTTTTTGGGTACCCTAATTTTCGTTAATGACATTTAAAATTGATAGGAACAAGCAATATCTAATAATTTGAATGGGAATGCGTGAACTCGTTGGCTGTTTCTGAATCTATACTAAATACAAATGTTATGTAGGATAGGAATTCATTCAGAATTCATAAAACACGGTCATATTTACACTTTTATTTGTAGCCTTGTTGTCGCCCTCTGCGTTGGCAGCCTGACAAGGAACATGGGACTCAAAGACGTACTAATTTCCGGGATGTACTTCTGGTCTCATGCCACTAATCAACCAATGGCTGCTCGTATCTGCTCGTCAATTTGAATGCCTTGCAAGAACCAATGAAATTTTTTTAATATTTTTTTCCTCAGGTGCTCCCTGTTTGAGGGCGTAATCACCTGGGTCAAAGGTGAGACCAACATGTGGTCTTTTGATTACTACTTAGCGGCTGTGTACCTGTGGGTTTATTCTGTGTGTATTTGGATGTTCTAATCTTGGTGTTTTTCCAGTGATTTCTCTTGGTGCAATCCAAATACAGTAAGTGTGTCTTGTTTACCTGAGATTTGCAAGAGTTTGAGCTGGCCAACCACAGTCAGCTGGCATCGGTGTCGCTGGGTGTATATGATAGAGGGAAGTTGTGCAACCAAATTTGCCGAGTTCGCAGTTTTTCGCCGATAAATAAATAACTAAGGCAAAAACTCACGGTTTTTCAGCATTTCTGTAATAAAGACATTATTCTCTATCAATAGTCCGCCCAAAACAGGAACATTTCTACTAATTATTGTGCTTTTTCGACGTTTTTCGAAAAACCTGCGATTAGGCTGCGAAAGTTCCACCCCTCTGGAATGTTCTGTCCATGGTACAAGCACGACTTCCGGTCGTGCTAGATTAGTTCGTGGCTGTATCATGCATAGGACCACTAACCACATTCCCAGCAAGCTGAAGAAGCGCGAGCATACCGGATATCGGATCCAGCATGATGTGATGTGATTATTTCGACAAGAGAGGGCGCAGTGCATCACAAACAAATTCCATACAACTGAATTGACAAAAGGTTAAATTTCGATAAAATGTCAAGATGATTTTTGTCTTTAAGTCTGTTTTTGTGGGTGGAGTCTCTACTACTCCAGAATTTCACGATCACATATAAATTGTTCAATACCTTTCAGTATTACTGGGTTTCTGTCTTATTTTGTACCAAGATTTATGACTGACTTAGAAGTCATCTATTTGACTGAGCTATGATGATGACTGTCCTCCGTGCACTGGTTGACAATGGGCGTGATTTCACCGAGTACGTTGATCTGAACAGATTTTGCCGAATTGTTCCGACTTAATCAAAGCTGACAAAGAGCATCCGTATTATATTAGGATCGTCTAAATATGGATTACAAAAGAATGTATACAAATCCAAATAATAAATGAAGATACTAAACTATGAAAAAAGTACAAATGTTTGTTCTGTTTCATAATATTTAGATGAATCGCGCCCTCAATGGTAGCCTGTGAATGTTCTGTAAATGTGCAAATTAAGTATAGTGTTTGAGTGAAATGATTAATTGCAATGATATTGCAGTACACAAAGTAAGGTGTAAGTAAACCTTCCCTGATTTATACCGTCTTCCTAGGCCAAACATTTTCCTATATTACTAATATATGTTATATACGTTTCCATGGTGACATCGTTGTTTAACACCTTTCCATCGCTATAGAAACCTGCTTGCACGCTGGGCGGTTTTCAGGCAACAGTGGTATTGGATTGGTATTAGTCAACTTTGCTTCAACCAAGAGCAGTTTTAATATTTCTTGTTACGAAAACAACTTCACCATGATTCATACTAATAAAAAACGTTTGAATGAGGGCTAGTCGCTCCTACGAAATATGGAAAAGATGCACTCTTTTTTCTTTCTTTCTTAGATCAGACTTTTTTTATTCCTTGTTTAATTAATTCTTTTTTTCTTCATTAGATTTGTGTGATTCTCAAAGAATTGTAATTGAGATCATTGATCGGAGACTGAGAAGAAATGAAATAAAATGTTATTCCATGTATAACCTTTTTCCTCATATGCGCAAGACTTTGGTACTTTGTTCATGATACTCCCTTGAAAATGCAACTTGGATTTGTTATGCGGCGGGCGGAAAAAAATGAAGATAAAAATAAGTTTTTTTAGCAATTTTTTGCACTTACAAGTCGGCGGGCGCGAGAAATTACGCTGAAATAAAATTTTATTTTTATTTCATTTTTGGCTTCTGTTCATTCGGCGGGTTCGCGAAACAAGGGATAATAAAAGTCTGGCCTTATAGCGAATACAAAGTTTTGCAGTTACATCATATCAGAATTAGAGTTAAGAAATATCATTACCCTGCCAGTGGTTAGGCTCTGGTCTATATTCCAGCTTCGTATCCGTATCTTATTTACTTTGTGTTGGACAGAATGGAGCCACTTAATAATTAGTTACGTTACATATTGCTACGTGACGTCACTACTTAGATGCCTACGTCATTGGTACGGTATTTTTGTTCATGCTAAGTGCCACATCAATCCTTTCGGAATATGTTTCAAGAGGTAGGCAATGCAAATTGATTTTTTTGTACTTCAAGCTGGGTACGTCCCTCACAGAGATCGATTTCCATTGTTACTATGGCAACATTTATTTATGTGTGAGCGTTCAATATTCATAGCTTTGGGTTGGATTACACAATCTATTAGATGAATTAAGTAAAATATAACTTGTAATTACGTCACATTTCATTATCCATAAAGATTATTAATACGGTGATTAATTCAGACAACGATTAACGGCAATCAATCACCACTCTTGGCAACCGTGGCATATCTTCTTTTCAATATGTAAAGCATAAGCAGATTCTCTTTCTGGTATCGACAGATTAAGTAATTCGACATTGCCCCCGCATAAAATAGCAGCCCGTAAACAAAGAGCTTTGCGTACAAAACCCAGAATGTAAAACTCGCATAAAGAATGTAAAACTTGCGGTAACCGGGAACGATGGAACAACAGCTGTATACACATGGAAGTAAGGCGACTCTCGAGACGGAGGGTAAAGTTACTGCCGTCACGGTATCTGCTGCCAACTGGCAAATGGGATTCGACCAAAGCAATACTAGTATCATGTTATTATCAATATCATCATGTTTTTAATATTTTTAATAATATTTGAATATGAATTGACTAGAACTAAAAAGCAAAGTGGCAAATGTTAACGTAATGTCATATTTGTTTGACTGACACATGGGTGTATGCTAATTTCTACAGGTTATATAACACGTCGTATAACACATACCAAAAGAGAAGATTTTAATTAGGCACTATTTCGAATCGGATTTGTTCTCAGTGTATTCCAAGAAATGTGGACTAATAAATACGAAACCAATAAGTTCTATTCTAGACGAAATCGATTTTCAGTGATATTAGTACGAACGGTAAATTTATCTTTTGAGTGACAGATATTTTTTCCGCCACAAATTTTAGTGCAAATATTTTCACATTTTGTAAAATTGTTTGTCAGTTTTTATAAATAATTTATGTTGGGAAAGAACAAAAGATTAATTAACGTCGGGTCACATACTGTTGACCTTTACTAAAATGATTTATTATATGCATATATTGACACGAACTATTATACCTGATATATGCACTGAAATGTCCGTCATCAAAAACACGAGTCGCATTCAACCATGTTATCATCTGTCTTTGTGTGCGAGCGCCCTCTCTTGGTTGAAATCAATAAATAAATAAATAAAACATAAATTTTCTGTACATTATAAATATGTTCCTCCTATTGTGGATTTTATTTAGTTATTTGTTATTTATTTATAAA